ATCACAGTTTATAAGAAATAAAAAGCATTTTATATAAAAATAATTTTAAAAAAAGCACAGTTTATAAGAAATAAAAAGCATTTTATATAAAAATACTAAAAAAAGCACAGTTTGTAAGAAATGAAAAGCATTTTATATAAAAATACTTTTAAAAAAAGCACAGTTTGTAAGAAATGAAAAGCATTTTATATAAAAATACTTTTAAAAAAGCACAGTTTGTAAGATTTTTTTGGAGAAGGCTGAGCCCAGGTTACATATAAAGTTATGGTTTATTAATGTAATTTTCCTCTAACTTCTTATATTCATTCAACCTTTATTTATCCAGGTTAATCCCATTGTTATATGCAAGTGTGTTTAGATGGTTTTATTTTGAACAGTTAAAAAACTAATAAAAAGTTAAATATTTCCATCAAAATATTCTGTAAACAAAACAAAACTGCTTGAAAAGGAGCGCGAAGAAGCAAAATCTTCTCCATCCTGTTCCCACTGCAAATTCTGAATTCTATATAGTTTATACATAAATACATAAATACTCATACGTGCATGTATACTTACTGTATACATGCGTGCTTTAATACTTTTAATAAATATATGTATACATTATAAAACTTTTCCTTCTTTCACCAAGTGTTTGTTGTCAGAAGTGTAACTGCTGCATTCCCTCTTTATGTAAAGTCTCTTTTTAATAACCATTAAAATCATTATAATAAATGGAATTTGTCAATATTTGTAAGTTATTGCTTCATTTAAAAACCATAGACCAGTGAATGTCAAATAAAAAAAGTCAAACGTTTGCAGCTATGAATACATTTGTATGTAATGTTTAGTTTCAGGATTAGAAAAGTTTTCTGGTTAAAAGCTTTTTCCAGTGAGATAAATAAATAAATAATCCACTGGACGGATTACCAGCGCAGCTGAATTATGGAAGAAGGAAATGCCTTGACAAATGAGCAAGTAGTTTTTTTCCTCCATAATTAGGAGTAAAGTTGTGACGTTAAATATTTAGAACCTGACGACGGCGTTCAAATGATTAGAGGAGTTGAAGAACGTTGTTGGGCTTCGTTTCCAGCAGCTTCCATGTTCACGGAGAAGAACCGCCTGCACCAGATGCTGTTTGTCTCTGGGACCCTGCTGGTGCAGCAGCCTCCTCCGTGCACGTTTACGGCCTCCGGCTGTGCCATATGTTTATTGGGGGGGGGGTCTGTTTAGTGCGAGGCCTGACCAGGTGTTCCAGGTGTTGGACCAAACTGTGAACCTGTTGGACGCAGCTCGTTGATCCTCAGGTGTCTGAAACAAAACGACCCACATGGACAGAGAGTTCTGGTTTGTCCACTTCCATCTGGACCCGCTACCTCAGTCCACTTTCAGCTCTGGCATGAAACAAAACGTCACTCTTTGACAGATTAGATCGTTACATCAGCTGCTGGTGTCGCTATGGAGACGACCGTCTGCACCTCGTTGTGTTTGTCCTCGTGCTGATCAGCTGATCTGAAGCCCAGTCAGCCCAGGTGTTTGTCCTCTCACGTCGTTAGCGTCTGTAGCGGTGGTTCTCAAACTGGGGTCCCTGGACCACCGGGGGTCCACGAGCTGGTGCTTAGGGGTCCGCAATTTTTCCCTTTTTTTTTTTTTAGACAAGCACGTTTAACGTTTAGCAACACGTTCAAACACAATGCAGGAAATTACATCTACGTTATTCAAAATTTTCTCAGAGATGACCCCCAGACACCCCCCCCCCCCACACACACACACACACACACACACACACACACCACCACCACCAATAAGTTGAAGAAGTGGTGATACATTTATTATGTTCATTATGTGAACGGGTAAAGTTTTAAAGTGGTTTTTGATATTATTAATTTTCTAAAAACTAATTTTTAGAAATTGAAATTAAAAATTGTGTTAATTAATTGTATCTTGAATGAAAAATACCCCATGTTTAAAAGTATAAAAGTTGTATTAACACTATTAAAGAACAGATCTTAAGTATTTATGTTACACAAATATTTCCATTGAAGAAAATTGTTTAATAAACGTGAGGGTTATGAGGGGGTCCCTGAACCCCGGGTTCTCAAATGTTTGGGTTCAGGGGAAAAAAAAAATTGAGATAAGTATCATATATCGCGATTTATCTTAAAAATATTGAGATAAGTATCATATATCGCGATTTATCTTAAAAATATTGAGATAAGTATCATATATCGCAATTTATC